GCTGGTGGCGCGACCGGAGCTGCTGGCGCCGCCTGTTGGACCGCCGGGGCGGCGACGGCCGCGGGCCCTGCCGGTTGTGCGGGCTGCTGATTCCTCGGGCGGTTGCGGTTGCACGTGGTCGTATGATGCGGCTGCTGGCAGTGCCGGCATCTGTTGGGCGAGGTGCAATTATTGCCGTAGTGATCTCGGGAGAGACAGTTGCTGCAGAGCCGCCTCTGGCGGACTGCATGCAGTTTGTCCCGAACCGAAAGGTGGCACCTGATCGCCGTGTGGTTACCGGCGCAGAAGGGACACGTCCCTCGATCCTGCTGGTCCCGGCGATTGTCTCGGTAATTGTTGTCCCGGTCGCGACGGGAGTTATTTTCATTGCGGCGCGGTTGTGGCACCTTATCGCCGTGTGGTTACCGGCGCAGAAGGGACACGTCCCTCGATCCTGCTGGTCCCGGCGATTGTCTCGGTAATTGTTGTCCCGGTCGCGACGGGAGTTATTTTCATTGCGGCGCGGTTGGCCGCGATTATCGTTCCGTCGGTTCGGGGAGCGACTTCGTGGGCGGTCAGAGGAGCGTCCGCGCCGCCGCCACTTGCGTGGGGGGCTGCGGGAACGCGATTGCCCTCGCCGAAACGATCGTCGCTGATTATTGTTGTTGCCCCTATTTTGTTGTTGCCGTCGATTGCCGTTAGAAGTCGACGGGGCGGCATTTGCCAGATTGACGTTGGCCGCAGCTGCTGGTGCGGCGGCTGCTGCGGCAGGTGGGGCCGCGGCCGGGGCTGCGGCAGGTGCTGCGGAGGCCGCTGCGCCGTCAGCCGGGGCCGCTGCGCCCTGAAATGCTAGAACTGGTGGCGCCTCCGCCATGCGGAGTTTGTGCGCGAAATAGGACCGGATGAAGCGGTATTGCCGATGAGGGCGCGTGGCCCAGACTGGGTCCAACTCAGGCATCTGAGCGTGGCGGTCGGTGTAGGCCTGGAGGACTTCCAGGTAATTGCCGCGTTCGAGATGCGCGCGTAGGACCGGGCCCACGCGGAGGTGCACGAAATTCATGTCGGTTTGAATTGTGCTCAGTTTTTCCGTGATTTGGACGACTCTGTTAAAATAGTCGTAAAATTCAGGGAGAGTGTTGGGTGCCGGAAGGCGATCGAATTCGCGGTAGAGTTTCAGGCGTACCGCGTCCGTCTGCCCGTATTCGGAGAAGAGCACCTTACTCAGGCATCTGAGCGTGGCGGTCGGTATAAGCCTGGAGGACTTCCAGGTAATTGCCGCGTTCTAGATGTGCGCGTAGGACCGGGCCCACGCGGAGGTGACGAAAATCATGTCGGTCTGAATTGTGCTTAGTTTTTCAGTTATTTGGACGACTCTGTTGAAGTAGTCGTAAAATTCTGGGAGAGTGTTGGGTGCCGGAAGGCAATCAAATTCGCGGTAGAGTTTCAGGCGTACCGCGTCTGTCTGCCCGTATTCGGAGAAGAGCACCTGGAGAACGCTGAGGTAATCCATATTAACGTCTTGGTACGCGAATGTGCCGACGTTTTCTTTTGCGTCACCATCAAGGTGAAGGAGCAACACGCGGATTCTTTCGATGTCCGTGAGTTGCGCGGCAGGAATAATATGGACTGGCAGAAAGTCGCGCCAAAGGCGCTCAAACGGATAATTGGAGTCCGCTTGGCCAGTAAATTTGTTGAAGGAGGCGTCGCGAGCCTGCTTCTCGTACGTTTTAACTAGGTC